TATTGTCCACTTAGAAATAAGGTCCATGAGGACAAACAAGTGAATATTCCTACTGTTCATGCTGAAACAATTATTCAGCGTGATAATCAGCTGTTTAAACGTCATCTGAAATAAGCAGGGGTGTTCCAAAGTCGTGCTTAGACATTCTGGGACACCTTAATATATATATATATATATATATATATAAATATATATATATATATATATAAATATATATATATATATATATATATATCGATTAGAAAACCGACTTTTGACATATATACCAATCGAATCAGCTCGACGAGATCGAAAAATTCCTGTTTGTATGTGTGACTAAAATTTCTGAGATCGTAATCTCAGTAACCACTGCACCACTTCTTCCTGACTTTGACGCTCATACTGCTCTCAACTTAAAATTCTTGAAGCACTTCCACAGTTATTAATTGAGAGCTTTAGCTGTTCGAGCAAGAACTTTCCCGGCCACCGAAGGATTTACTTCGCTGAAATCAGCAGTCCAGTTTACACGAACCGAATTACTGACCGGGGGTTTGGGTCACCATAAGCCCTTTTGAGTCCAGGAAGCACCACAATGGATCATTGAAGATGCTGAGGTTTTGACAGCACCGTACTGTGGCTACCACAGTATTTTACATGGATCGTCCGTATACAGTAGCGCCAAATGCAAGCTGTGGCGGGTTCAAAACTCAGCCATCTAAAATGATCCATTCTTCATGTGTAGGTCACTTTTCACTTAGGTCCGACTGAGATGATCTACGAAATAAGACTAAGTCTCTTCGTAAAAAGGCGCTTGAAGAATATCGTATTCGCACTAATCTGATTATTACTACAAACGACAATGTCCCTTTATAGAGGGGACTGCTTCAATTCGTTTGTAATTGACTTCTATTGTATTTACAGTATTTACATATTGAGAGGGGTTTGCATTGATGTTTATATTTTGTGTAGGTATATTGTGTAACAAGCATAATAATACTCTGCCCACGAAAGTCGAGAAAATGTCCAACCCGTCCAACCAGAAAGATGTCATCGAACCGACCGGGAATAGAACCCACCGCCTCCGGTTAGGTGATACCGTGCCTATACCGGCTAGGCTATCTGAGGCCCCGTATCACTGCACCAACAACTGGTTCCGCAGATATGGTCAAAACGTGTGCCGCTGAATACGAGCCTTAAGACTAGAACCAACCTGAAACGTGCCAAACCCATCATTCGTAACCTCAACTCACATGAGCATTCGAAAATAAAATCCATGAAAGTCAAAACAAGTGCCCAGGTATTGGCCACATCTGGAGATCTTCCGACCTAAGTGACCAAAGTAATATAAAAAAAATGTAAAATCATAGTCTCAGTAACCACTGTACCGAATTCAAATACAAAATCAATGCACAGGACCACATTGGCCGCATCTGAACATGTTCCAGGCACCCCTGGGGGAGTAACCAATATGGCAAAAATTACCGATATCGTAATCCCAGCAACTACAGCACCAAATTGAACACAACAAGCGTCAAATGAAAGTTTTTGCAGTCACATAGAATATTTTTGGAATCGGTCATTCGGGTCCGGAGATATCTTCGAAGCATGTTCTGCTGAATACGGACCTAAAGAATAGAATCAACACCTGTAACAAGCCAAACCTATTTTGCTACACATAAAATCACATGAGAAATCGAAAACAAAATCAATGGCAGTCAAAATGAGTTCCATGGACCGCAGTGTACATGATCCGGGCACCCCATGAGGAGTAGTGCCATATGATGCTGTTAATTTTTTTTAATCGGTCAAGTGCTTCGAGAGATATGGCCGGAACCTATTTCGGTGAACATCAGCTTAACATTCCCAAGTCCGAGGAGTTTAAATGTTTTCTTAGCACGGTATAGAATTTTGTATTGTGGACCTTGGCTATTTAAATTTCGGAGCTCTAGGGTTAGTTCGGGTTCACTAAGCTTTCGGAACCTACGGGAGCCTCGAAGCTAAAAAAATAAGATCAGAGATCACACTCTGAAGGATGTAATGTCTCAAATTCTTGGAGTCGCGGCAATTTCAGAAGACAATTTTCCAGGGCCAAAATCTTGATTATTTTTTTAATATTGAATCGTTCAAATTCCGAAAGTCCGAAAACTTAGTATTTCTATTATTTCAAATCATATTTTTATTCAAAGGCCTCTTCCATATTAATTCCTTCTGGGAAAAATCCCGGACGTGTTTTGATATGATATGATATTTATTCTTAATTCTGAAAAACGATTTTATTGATAAATAAGAGCGGAAATTCGCCTGCCCCTCTGGCTCTGGAGTGCAGTTCTTAGAAAAGTGACTTAGTAAAAACTCGTCGACTTCGCCCCTCTGACATGTCGCCCTTGGCGTAGGCCGTTTTCGCCACCCCTACCTCCCTGCACTTCAATAAAAAGTAAATTGATAGTTGAAAAATTCAATCATAACAATGGTTACAGTTTCTTGATAAGAAAATTCCGCGCTCGCTTAACAACCCTGTATTTTGCAAAAACCGTGTGAAAACTAACGCATAAAAAAACCGTGTAAAAAATAATTTGGGCTCTGAACCATTTGGTGGATTATTTTAACTTTTGATTAAAATTTGACAGATGGAAAGTTATCGATTAACCCTGCTATTCGAGCGTGGTTACTTCTGACAGACAAGAAGTTAAATTTTGACAACCTTGGCTAAGTTCTTCTCGAAAACCGGTCGATCGACAGCACAGGGATTTTCGGACATAGAAAATAACTTTCGAAATGCCACTTTTAACCACGAGTTAAATTTAACTCGGCAAATTGGCGTCTTGCAGTGAAACTTTTCCAAGCTTTCGCCTCCTACATTTCGAAGTGAGAACTACTAGAAGGAGGATAGTTTCCAAATTTTCCAAGTAAAACAGACGATTTTTGGGGCAAATCGGTCCATAAAGAAAAACTAATAATTTCGCGTGGAAACTTTTGCTTGAATCGTGTAAGAAAACGTATTTGAAAACTAATTGTTTTTATTTCGGTATGGATCGGAGAGGTTTTCATGGAACATAATTCATAACAAGTTTGCACCCACAGCGAGAGGTTACCTCCTGCGCAGCTGGATTTTTCGGAAAATGGTGAATATGTGCGATTTCCACTAAGATGAAAGTGGAAATTAAGTTAATTTACTTATGAAAGATTGTATCATGCTGGTGGTAATGGATAATTGGCCAATATTAAATAAATGTTCTTTTTGGCCTTTTCTAAGCAAACATATTGATACTCACAATTTTCGACGGAAAACGCAACAGAACTTGCTTTACTCAACACGCACCATACTATAAAATGGTGCTAGATGGTCTTCAAAGTGATAACAAGATGACAAATCATCATTGTTTTGAGTAATTGAGCAATTTACTTCTGTTTACATCATATTCACAATGCAGCATTGATGGAGCCGCGAAATGAAATGAATGTATCTAATGAAAGTTCAACTGGAAAAGTCAAAGATGCATATCAGTCTGATCGTAAAAACGTTTTCTTCTTCAATTCGAATGTTATATTGGAAGGATTTTACACAGGCTTGATGAAAATTATGATTTAACGCTAATTTTCACGAATTTTATATGCAGTCTGTCAACATTATCATCATCATGCAGTGGCGACATCTGCGTTGAGCTTTTACGGCAATCTTCCAAATGGTTCACAGCCTTAGTGTAAAAGAGTTTCGACATGGTGGCGGTTCTGCCCAGCGTGCTCATTGAAAATGCTCGACTAGTTTACATTTTAATTATCATCTAACTTCAAATTTTGTTGAACGAACCGAATTCTATATGGCTTGCAATGATGTATAGAGCTTTAGAAGGTTTTGTTATTAGCTACAACTTTTGCCCATAACTCAAATCTGTATTATGCATCACGAATTAGAGCGGGCAGAACTTTTTACTGTTTTTAAGTGAATGTAAAATACATTTGTAAAAACAAAACCTACAAAAGCTCCATACATTATTTTGCGAAATTCTCTTGATAAAAAAGTTAGGGGCAAATGAATGTAAATGAATGCACGAAATGAATGCAAATGATTTTCCATGCCTGATGGCTTGTATGAAAAAGTCGTTTCGATTGTCTTACATATTTGTGGCCCAGATCATAAGGAAATCAACCAGGACGAAAGGAAGTTGGTTTTCACTCAATAATGAGGATGTTTTGGTTAAGTATGATGTTTGATAAGTACCGTAAGACGGGGTATCTTTGATAATGCTGCGCTTTTTCCAAATTAGAAAAATTGGTTCCATATTGTAGCTTAGGGTATTTCCGTTGATATCGTATATAGTTTTTATACAGTATGTGTAAGATATTTTACAAACATATTAAAAAAACAACTTTCGTGTTTTCGCCTGTTTGAAAAAGCACTCAAACCATCACTTATGAAATGTATTTCTGATAGAGCCATAACAAATTCAATGTTGTATTCTTATTGCTTATGAGGTTTTCTGATTATATACTCATTCAAAGTTTCATATTTTAAGAACTAAATTGTTTGAGTTTCACCCCTTTTTTTCTACATTCATCGAGCATTATCAAAGTAACCCCAAATCAAAATACTGAAGTTCGGTCTTTAATTTCCGTTTACTAACGAGTTTACTCTTGGATCCTCAGTACTTGTTTTAAAAATATAAAATTTGAAAAACATTAATTCCTGTAAAAAATATTTAGAATATACTTTAAAAAACTATCAATGTTACCCCGTTTTACGGTACTATAAAGGTTCACTCCTATCATCACAAAAATGTTTCCGTGACTGGGGGAGCTTACGAGTGGCTATGGCATATATATTTACCTTGCAGGAAGAATCAGAACAACTTCCGACAGAAAAAAAACACTGCACCAGAATAGATTTAATAACTCTAATGAGTTGCGAATTTACTTCAAAGTTACTCGGCTTCGTAGAACTTTTTAAAACATTTTAGCCAAATTAAGCAAATATATTGGAAAGAAAGGGTTAAATCTTTTACTAGGCTTATCTTGTTAGGCTTATTAGTGTCTAGTTGTTAAACTATGTAAAGGAATTTATTACAATAGTTTGGATCACTCACCTCGTCGAACAGGTTGAACACGGCCAGTCCTGTAGCATTGTAGATTGAATCTTTTATCAGCAGATCGCTGATATCGGATGCTTCCGTCAACGTTATCGATTGGGATTTCAAGATAAACTTCTGAAGCTCTACTATCAACATAGGACTATACTTTTGGAACAGTATCATGTAAAATGCTTCTGTACAAGACTGAAAAACGAAACCAATGGATTGTTAAAAGTATGCTCCAATGATGAAGGCTCAGTTCAGATTACCCTTAAATTGTATTTCCAAGAATCGCCACCCTCGTCCGAAACATAACTTTCCGGATCACAGTCCCACAGTTCAAATTCATCATACGAAAGTAAAAAATAGTGCATAATAATCTTCTCAAAAATATAGCTCAGTCGTTCGGGTGTAAAGAATTCATTCTTTGCTGCGATGATAATTTGCTCTGTAAAAAAAAACCCCAATGGAAAAACAATCTTAAAGTAATAATAACATCTTCATTCTTACCTTTATCGCTATCCACGTGGATGAGATTATGGGAAAGTATTCCTTTAATCAGGTTTAAGCACTGTATGGCGAAGTTCGGGAATGTGATTACATTGTCCTCGAAGATGAGATTCGTTCCTTCGTGGAAGACATAGTTGAACGAAAACTCAAAGGCCGCTGGAATGAACTCAACAAACGATGCGGGATGTGTATCGAAAAATAAATTCAGGAACTTCATATGTTTGATGATAAACTTCTCGACCTGTTCGGATAGTTTATCGGATAGCTGCTGCTGCTTTTCGATTTGCTTGACCTGTAGTCGACAGTCTAGTAATTCCTTTAGCCGTTGAAAAACGACACGTATAAACATCATGCATTTGGGATGCAGATGAGGTGCAGCAATACCGTAAATTGTCAGTTTCTTTAAAATCCGCAAGGATATTATGGCTTTCTCCAAATTTGTAGCACATAAATCCAAAGAAGCATGTTCCTGAATGCTGGTGAAGAATAGCTGCGTGAATGCATCCCACAAGTTGAGAATAAATTCGAACAGCTTGTTTGTTAGATCCTATAAATACAATACACTAGATAAAATTACATAAATAAGTTGATATTTAAAAGATGAGTACCTCAAAATGAATTCGGTCGCGCTGGAATCTTTTGGAAGCGAGAACTTTCACGACATGCAACAGGACCAGCAGGCCACGCTGTTGCACCAGCAAATCGTTGCTTTGGACTACCTCCACTAGCGTTGGCACCAGTTCCATCCATTCATGGGGACAATCAAAGCGAGCTATGTTCCCTATCAGTACCGCGATTTGAACCGCAATTTGCTGCACTGGTTCGTTAAATCTCATCAGTAACATCTTTTTAATTTCAGCTTTCTCCTCCAACGGGATCGCACTGCAAATTAATGCACAGAATTAGCTTCAACCCGTACCGTCTATATTCACATCTATATTTACTTAGGTGCATTTTTCCTCCAATATTTAAGGACTCCATTCTTAAAATAGAGCGAAGCCATCCATCGGACGTTGGCGTCAATTGATTGATCGGAGAAAAATTTTACCAGAGTTAAATGGAATCCAGGCTGCACTTCCCATTCTGCCAGTTTCTGTTCGGCCGGTTTCAACATCTGAGCATTCTGACTGCAGGCATACACCAGTGCTTCGTAGACTGCTGATTCGGCCGACATTTTTGTGATGATGTTCCACTGTGTTGTAATCTGAAGAGAAAATAGATTCGTTTTACAGGACCAGATTATATCGATGTTTTCACCTTTTGCGCTCAATTTAAATTGATAAAACTATTAAAACTCATACGCATGAAGTAAAATTTAGCACGTAAATTGTATGATATGAAAACAGACAACACCCTCAGCCAAATAAAATTTATCAGATAAAAAACAACATAGGTTAGGATTAAGTCAATATCTAATTTTAGCACAAATCGAATCTACGTACCTTTCTAATTCAAAATGTATCACTACCTGTTAATCTAAAATCATCATAAATCCGAAGCAACTATCAACTTTGGATTTATTATCTGTAAAATTTCGATTGTTTTCTAACACTTGATCGGCAATATTCATTCACCCAAGCAAAAAATTGCTGAAAATGCGTATTGGAATTGACACGCTTGTGTCAAAATGTTTGATGAAAACAAAATAAAACGTCAAAATAAACGGTGACGGTTGGCGGATCAGCTGAGTTGATATCATTACCCGCATAAACGCGAACCATCACATGACCTTACCGATAATGGTTATAAATTGTTTATAATCCCTGCTAAACTTCAACTGAAATGGTTATGGAACTTTACATGAACGTTTAATGATAAAGTTTTAACCTTAAGTATTATAGTTTTTTGGAAGTGGACCTTACAAATAATGGGTTGTTAAGAACCATTACCATTCAAAATTCTTGTTTTCTCCATACATTTTCGGAAAGAGAACTATATTAGAACGTTTTTACTTATGGTTTGAGAACATTAATGGTTACACGCAGAAAAATTTATCGTTGAAACAAAAATATTTCAGGTAAATTTAAACGTAAACTCAGTTTGTTCTGGCCACAAAAATAAACAAGGTTTATTTCAAACGTATTCCATGTTTGAAGTCATGTGATATTAATGTTTAAAACAAAAATAATGTTACGTTTATTTTAAAAATATTCGTGTTGAAAATAAACGTGAATATTTTTGTTTGGTTTGACAAGTATGTGAACAAAAATAAATATGTTTATTTTAAACATGCTTCTTATGTTTGAAAGAAACATACTTAATTTTAAATTATATTAGCAGGATAAAGCAAAAAAATTGATTGCAAAGAGATGAAAAAACGATCCGCAGACAAGGCATCTAAACTCCTGCTCTTTTTCGGGTGCGATTAAGGGTAAGCTGTGGATGTTGGGTCCTGGTCCGAGATGCGGGGACCCGTCGGGGTGAGTGTCCGGAAGTTTCAGTTCAGTAAAACCAGTGAAACTTTGTGATATCAGCGTCGTTTTGTCGTTTCTAACGCTGGTCCTCATGCCGGCCTCTTTCTACGTTTGGTGTTCAAGGACCCCCTCCTTGAACACCAAACGTAGAAAGAGGCCGGCATGAGGTCCCCCCCGGCTGGAGGATCCGGAATAGATTCAAAATCTATTTCGGATTTTCGTTTTTCTTTCGACGTCAGTTGTGGAGGAGGATGATACAGGATCGGCATCAGAAACGACAGAGTGACGTCGATACCGCTGGGGTTCCTCCGGTTTTATCGAGCCGGAACTTTGTTAAGACACTTACCTAGGTGGGTTTCCGAATCCATGACTTCGGTTTTGTTGCGGGCCGTTTTCAGTTGATTGGGGCATTTTTTTTTCCGAATGTAAACAAGAAGGAAAAAAAGGCAGGGCACGCTAAAAATCGTTTACCCAAATTCTATATTGTTGAAATAAACATGCTTTTGACTTTAATTCAAACATATATATTTTTGATGCAAACGTGTTTTTAATTTATTTTGAATTATTCATATGTTTATAGAATGAACATTTATATTTTTGATTTAAATGAACAAAATTTGGTTCCGTGTATGGTTATGGTAGTCAGTAAGGTCCATTAATGGTTTTGTATTATCGCTCAACTTTACGTGAAATATATCGTGAATTGGTAATCAGTAATTTACAGGCAACCAATTCGATATATTGATCGATGTTACAAAACCATTCATGGACCTTACTGGTTACCATAACCATTACCATTAATGTTCTCAAACCATAAGTTAAAAGGTTTTAGTATAGTTTTCTTTCCGAAAATGTATGGAGAAAACAAGAATTTTGAATGGTAATGGTTCTTAACAACCCATTATTTGTAAGGTCCACTTCCAAAAAACTATAATACTTAAGGTTAAAACTTTATCATTAAACGTTCATGTAAAGTTCCATAACCATTTCAGTGTAAGTTTAGCAGGGATTATAAACAATTTATAACCATTATCGGTAAGGTCAATTTATGGTTCGCGCTTATGCGGGTAGGTCGTATGAATAAAAGCGTTTACTTTACTTTTCCCGTAAGAATAGCACGGGAAAGTTAGAGTCGGTGTATAATGAGTCACGCCAAGAGAAAAACAGTTGAACTCGCATCACGGTTTTCGAAAGATTCCCATTCTTTTCACTTGGCAACAGAGAACTTCTACAACAACTTCAAATGACTTTTAGCGAGAGAACAAATATTGCGGCTGTAGTAAATCATGATATCAGTGATTTTGTCAAATTATCTTAACAAAAATAGTAGAAATTCTCATTACTAATCATTACCGAGCGTATCCCATGGCAATTTAACGCTCACTGCGTATTTATGCTCATTTCTTCGATTATATTTTATATTTTATTGCAATATCTTTCGTGGACCTTTCATAGCATCGTAATGTTTATTTACTTTGCACGATAGGTAGCCGTTTTGACAGTTCAATAGGTAGACATGGCTTCACCATAGAGGTAACTCTAAGACTAGAAGGTCCCGAAGAAAATCATTATTATTTTTGGCTCACTCAGTACCAGAACAACGGTCCCAAGCAGTCCCAAGCTATTTCACTCACCCCTGCATGTTCTGCATGAATCCACACACCCCTGATGTTATCTGTCAAACTTTCATAGCGAATCAAAACAAACATAGTGTAGTAATAGAATTTCGACTAGAATAGGGTACGTTAATCGTTTGCTTGGGACCAATAGGCTACTAAAGTGGTGAGCCAATTTAAAATCGTTAGTTTCGTATTGATTGTTGGCTTCACTCTTGGCGTGACTCATTATACACCGACTCTAGGGAAAGTATAGTAAACTCTTTTTATTCATACGGCCCAATGACATGTTCACGGTAACCGCAAAATACCCAATAATGACTACAAAGTAAGCATTTTCGAGGGAAACTGAGACTACCCATTAAATGAGTAAAATTTTACCCATTTATGAGTAATTACAACTACAAAAACAAGTAGTAAGTATTCATTTTTGAGTAACAAATACTCATAAATGGGTAATATTTTTACTCATTTAATGGGTAGTCCCAGTCTCCCTCGAAAATGCTTACTTTGTAGTCATTATTGGGTATTTTGCGGTTACCGTGTTGAGCAATCAGTTAAGTTGTGTGATGGCGGTAAGCTCCAACTCGGATTAACTTTTAATACCGTCCCTGATCTGAAAAATGTTTGCTCAGAGTTATATTGATTAACTCTGATGTCGACATCAAACCAGCCGGACATCCTTGATCGGGATTTAATCCGAGGATAATACCGGTTGGAGCTTACCACCATGAGTGAAACCACTGTATCACAGAAATTCAAAACAACCCAAAATTAAGTTCTTTTCACTCATCGCCCATGTTCCGTACGATAAGCCAAATTTGGGTAAACCGGCTCAAAGTAGTTTGCATTTAAGGACGGCACAAAAAATTACCCATCGCTAAGTTATTTTCAATTTTTTCTACCCAAAATTTAGTTCAATTAACTCAAATTTGGGTATATCGCATTTTATTACTCAATTTTGGCTTCTCGTACGGAACTAGACGGTTGAGTCGAATCTTTCGTTCTATTTTTGACAACAATAGCGAGAGAAAATGAAACGGGCAGAGGTCAAATAACTCAAATTTGAGTTAAAAAAACCCAAGCGGTGGGTAGTTTTGTTTTTCTGTGTACGATACAAGTGTCGTCACTAATTGCGTTTACGTAACCGTACCGTAACCGTACCAATGAGTAAATAAGGCACATTTACCAACCTTTACCATAGAGATTGCTGAAGTGTGATTGTGTCAGTGATTTGTTTCATCGGAAAATTTTCCGCTATGATTTTTTTTTTCCCGATGAAAACATTTTGCGTATACGTATACGTAACGTAGTGTGCGTACGATAAACGTCAGCAACCTCTATAACACCCCGACCAACCGTTCGTGAAACTTCTTCAAAGTTCTTTATACAGAGATAAAGATTTATGTCGGCAATTCTTTACTTTAAATTTTCTATGATTTTGATGTACACATTTAAAATTTTTTATTGATCGATACCTAGATCGATACTTACATTTAAGATTATTTCTTCATCGGTCATATGATATAGTAATCTATAAAGGTGCCATACTAAATTTCTTTTAATTTCGATTTGTCACATGGACTTTAGTATTCTTTACAAATATTCATCAATAAATATTTAAATACTGATTTCATCGTAGCTTTGAACTTTGACAAAGAACAACAAAGATTGCCATCGATGCACATTTATAATCTCCTTGTTATCAATTTGCATCGCTGGTTAAAGAGAGTTCGAGACACGCCAGGTGACAGATGGCAATTTTTATGTTATTTATCGACATATTCGGCATTTCATCGGAAGAAGCAATCTGCCGGTAAATGAACGAGAAGACCGATGGCCGCGACGCAGCAAATGTTTACCATTGTAGTTCTTCAAGTTTACGTCTATATATTTAATAACCCGTGATAGCATGCGTGGTGGGATTCTCAGCATTTGGAACCCAATGAGGAAAATTGTTATCTTTTTGACCTCTATTACACCACGGAACCGAATTTTCTTCATTTATATCAAAAATATAAATGTTTATTTTATAAACACATGAATAATTCAAAATAAATTTAAAAAATGTTTGCAACAAAAATATAAATGTTTGAATTAAACTCGGAATTAAAGTCAAATACATGTTTATTTCAACAATATAGAATTTGGGTAAACGATTTTTAGCGTGCCCTGGCTTTTTTTCCTTCTTTCGGAAAAAATTGCCCCAGCTTTGCCAATCAACTGGAATCGGCCCGTAGCAAAACCGAAGTCATGGATCCGGAAACCCACCTAGGTAAGGGTCTTAAAAAAGTTCCAGCTCGATAAAACCGGAGGAACCCTACAGTATCGACGTCACTCTGTCGTTTGTGATGCCGATCCCTGTATCATCCTCCTCCACAACTGACGTCAGAAGAAAAACGAAAATCCGAAATGGATTTTGAATCTATTCCACATCCAGCCCCCCCCCCCCTTCTCCAACACCGAACGTAGAAAGAGGCCGGTATGAGGACCAGCGTTAGAAACGACAAAACTACGCTAATATCACAAAGTTTCACTGGTTTTACTAAACTGGAACCTCCGGACACTCACCCCGACAGGTCCCCGCATCTCGGACCAGAACCCCAACATCCACATAAACCTGCTACCTAGCTGTCCTAATAAAAATGTTATGGTTAATTAGCTTAACGACGTGTTCGGGGTATCATCCAAACCATTTGTGGAATAGTTCAATGATTTGGGTTATCGTTCGTTTATGGTATTTTTTTATTAGGGTGTGCAATGAATGAACATAATAAAATGTTGTTACAATGATTTTTATCGTATTTTTCATTTATTTATTGTTAACATGATTCGATCATGAACAATAATGAACAACTCTATTGGCAAATCAAAGTTGGCACTCGTGGAGAATAGAAGAACTATGAAAGTGATGATGGTTTCAAAATTTTGCACGGGGAAGTATACGAGTGCAATCTTAAAATGCTTTTATTTTGAAAATGGAGCATTTTATTTAAATCTGGTTACTGCTACAGTGGTAGAAAAGCGGAAGTCTATGTTTACACCTAAAAATCTGAAAAGAAATTAAGTTTTCTGTATTATATGTCTATTGAGTAGTCCTGAAGTTTTCTACTAACGTAGCACTTACCAGATTTAAATAAAATGCTCCATTCACAAAATAAAAGCATTTTAAGATTGCACTCGTATACTTCCCCGTGGAAAATTTTGAAACCATCATCACTTTCATAGTTCTTCTATTCTCCACGCGTGCCAACTTTGATTTGCCAATAACAGTGAACCACATTATTTAAATGGATTTCTTCGCCAGTTAGTCGTCTGTCACTTCGTTTGTGTCAATAGTGCCGAGATGAGTGAAAAGAACTTATTTTTGGGTACTTTTTCTAACCGTGCAAGGATTTCTAAAAGTGGGTACTTTGTACCCATTTTATAAAGCCAATAATTATTTAAAAATGAGTAAAAAAGAACCCCATGATTTGACGTACAAGCTCCTTACCCATTAATGGGTAAAGACGTATTACGCATTAAAATTAGTTTATCTACTTTACTTCGAAATGGGCACTTTTTCATCCATTAATGGGTACTTTCCAGTTACAGTGAAGATAATCGATCAATGTACAGTATAGATTGGTCTTTTTGAAAAAAAGACGCGATAGAATCTCAGGCCGCCGAATAAAATAAGCGTAAACAAATCTTGATAGAGCTGGAATTAGGGCGTAACAACTATTGTAAACAATGACTTCTCTAGATGATTTCTCGAAACTCAAGGCACGCCCACGCAACCAACATAACCAACAGGAAGGGGAAGTCTTCCCCTACTCGATAGTGACGTTTATTTGCGTGAGCGAGGCTTGACTTTCTATAAATCGACAGTGAGCATGCATAAGTCATTGTTTACAAAAGCTCTTACGCCCTGATTCCAGCTCTATCTAGAAATAATGGCAGACTGCGTGTTTTGCCGTGCAAAATGTGTGTTTCGCATATTTGTTAAATTTTGATCTGGATCTACTAATAAAAGTTCAATAAGTATTAGTAAGTGATAACTCTAAGCCACAATGTCTCGAAAACCATTCTCTTTGTCGGCGGCTCTTTCAAAAAATGACCCGAAGAAACAGACAAGCTTGATGGCTTTCATGGCCAAAAAAGAAAAGACGGCTCTAGAAAGGTAACAAGTTATGGATACATATTATGTGTAGGTACTACCAAATTTTGAATTGCAATTTACCTCTAAGTAGCAACTTAACGGAAAGCATCGATGTTAGAGACGGTTTAAATCCCGTTGCCGGACCAGACGAGGAAGCCAAATTGCGTTCACCCAGTATTTTCAAACCTAAGTTCCCGAAGGTAACATTTCATAAGTAACTGAATTGTTTTCGGAAACTTATGTTACATGTCTTTAATTGCAGGCGAAACAATCATCAACCGTTGAACTAATCACATTAAAAACTAAGGTTAAAGCATCACAAAAAATAAAGAATAATTATTCCGACAGAGTGGCTGATAAAGTTGACCAGATGGATGAATACGATCTTCTAGTAACGAAATATTGTACAGAAGCCTCAAAAATTGCGATGAATCTGGAGTTAGATCTAGAGAACGATTCTCGATATCAACAAGCTACGAAAAAATTGGAAGAGAATTTAGCCAAAATAAGTCCTGCAAAGAAAGCTACGGATCAGGACGGTGCGAGTAAAATCGGAAAATTTCAGTACAAGGTACCTAAAGCTGCTTCATTGCTGTCTGGTTTAAGCGAACCGTTGAAAAAGCCAATCAATCTAAACAAAACACCTCTTACCTATGACGACGATCCGTTTGAAACAAAACACGATAAGCCTTCCAGTTCTACCCCGATCGGTTCAACAAGCTTTTCTTTTATACAGAAAAAATCGTCTGAAGCTGCCAAAGGAGAGCAATCTACCTCACAGAGATCACTATTCAAGACAAAACTCCCTTCCCGACTACAAGTGAACAAGATTATTTCTCCTAAGACTGATGCAGCTTCACTATCAGAAAAAAAGATAAACAACCAGAATAACTCCCCGCTTACCAAGGCAGCAGTTGAAAAACCAAACAAGCCAAATATTCATAAACCACCAACAACCCCAGAGAGCATTTCTACATACCTAGATCGTCTGTTCAGTTCCACGAAGAAAAACACGAGTGTAAATTTTGATCCCGCTTTGGACGATTATATGGTTGATATTTTGAACAGTCCTAGTTTTAAATTTAACGGAGGATCGAAGGCGGAACTGAAGAAAAACTCCCAATCGTTGCAAGATACGTACAAGTCACTATTGGAAAAATTCTACAGCATCTGCGATCAACTGCCAACCGAATGTTTCGGTTCTGTACAAGGCTTCCGCATGGACACGTTCAGCAAGCTTAAATCATTAGTTGAGAACGTTAAGGGCAAAATTAGAGTGAACGAGAAAGCGTTGGAAAATTTTAAAACTCACTCTGTAACTGGATCAAGGAAGAGCCGCAGCAAAAGCAATGGCTTTGATGACTATGATGCAATGTGCCCAAGCAGTAGTATAAAAGACACTGTTCTGAATGATGTGAACTTTGTTGAACAAGAGAATGATTTTGTGGACAGTACTCTTCCTGGAGAAACTCCAAAAGAGTCCGCTGCTTCGCAATCCGGTGCATTTGTATTCAAAAAACCTATATTTGGGACAATGCTCAACTCGTCCGATAGCACGGCATTATCGGAAGTGAAGGAAAACGGAAATCGTTCTAGGGAAGATGACGAAGACGATATAGAAAGTATAATGAACAACATTCGGGAAGCAGAACTCATAGACACCGGACGTTCCAATCAGACTAATTTGAGCTCGATAGATTTGGTGACTCCCGAGAGTTCATTTCGCCGACCGGAACCACGTATCACTTTCAGCGCTCAAGAAACATCACTACGTAATACGCAGTTTATCGAAAACGTTGACACCCAGCTGGACGACGATGGCTGGCAGGTCTACGATGCGTCTCAGTTTGAGAATAGTGACGTGATCAGTATTACTGATGCATCGGAGGGTCTCCCGAGTACATCTTCCAATCAGTGCAACCAATCCAAATCTGATGCTTCCCTTTGTCGACTTTTGGACGACGTTGATAGTCAAGTATCGACTGCTTCCAGTTACCAACCGAGAGCTCAGAATTCGTTGGGAAATTTCCACTCTGGGGTACGAAACGATGGATTAAGCGGAGAGTTCGATGGAATGAACCATCCCCATTCAGAACAAATGAAAATCGTGTTTCACGAAACGTTTGGTCTTCGATCTTACCGTCCTAACCAGCTGCAGGTGATAAATGCTACCCTGTTGGGGCATGATTGCTTCGTGTTGATGCCAACGGGCGGAGGCAAATCTCTTTGTTACCAACTGCCCGCTCTACTCACAGAGGGCGTCACGATAGTGGTCAGTCCGCTAAAATCTTTGATTTTAGATCAAGTAAACAAGCTCAGTTCACTGGATATTCCGGCGGCTCATCTATCTGGGGACGTATCTTACGCAGATCAGCAGAAGATTTACAACGATTTGCAGAGCTCAAGACCGGTGCTTAAATTGCTCTACGTCACTCCGGAGAAGATTTCCTCTTCAGGGCGATTTCAAAACGTTCTGACTGGCCTGTTTAGAATGAAGCAAATGGCGAGATTTGTTATAGACGAAGCCCATTGTGTTTCTGCCTGGGGTCATGATTTCCGTCCAGACTATAAAAAGTTGTCGGTACTGAGAGAGCAGTTTCCATCGGTAAGTTAGCGGTATCGCATCGCATAGTAAATTGGATTTGACCTCAATAAATATGTATCGTAGGTTCCCATCATGGCACTAACGGCCACGGCTAATCCTCGAGTTAGAATTGATGTTTTGAAACAGCTAAGGTTGACCCGTAATACAAAATGGTTCCTCTGTAGTTTCAATCGACCAAATCTGAAATATATCATCCGACCGAAGCAGGGCGCCGCAACCAAAGCGGAAATCATCGAACTGATCAAGAAAAAGTTCCCACGTGCATCCGGTATTGTCTATTGCTTGTCGAAGAAGGATTGCGATCAACTTGCATCCGAGATGCAGAGGGCTGGTATCGCAGCCAAAAGCTATCATGCCGGCCTATCGGATTTGCAGAGAGAATCAAACCAGAAGGATTGGATCACAGATAAAACCAAGGTAGTATGCGCAACCATTGCCTTCGGTATGGGTATAGACAAGCCAGATGTACGCTACGTTATTCATCATTCGATGCCTAAGAGTATCGAAGGCTACTACCAGGAGGCCGGAAGAGCTGGTCGAGATGGTGAACCATCTAGTTGCATCTTGTTCTACAACTATTCGGACATGTTACGTTATAGAAAAATGATGGACCGTAAGAGTGTAGAACGTGCTTCAATGAATTAGATATTAATGTTTTTTTTTTCTAACAGATGGCAAATCGATCCCTTTCGAGGCGAAACAGGTTCATTTGCACAATCTCTTCCGGATGGTCAACTATTGCGAAAATGTAACGGACTGTCGACGAGCCCTGCAACTAGATTACTTTGCGGAACATTTCACTCGAGAGCAATGTCTGGAAAATCGTGCCACTGCTTGTGACAACTGTCTAATGCAGGGAGAATACAAAACCGTCGATGTAACGGATGACTGCATTGCTATAGTGAAGAGTGTGCGCGATTTGTGCGCCTGTGCAAGTCGTTTTACACTTTTGCATCTTGCAGAAGTGTTCAAAGGAAGTGAGCAGAAGAAGGTTATCGACAACAACCACCATCGGACGCCATATCATGGTCGTCTGAAGTCATGGGATCGAAGCGACATTCAACGGCTAATGCACAAGCTGGTCATTGAGGACTACCTTAAAGAAGATTTAATTTTTTCCAACGATATTCCTCAAGCGTACATCAAAATTGGATCCAAAATAGAGAAGCTCATGAACCGTGAAGTGCGGATAAACTTCTCTACGAAAGAGAAAACAACGACCAAGAAGATACAACAAATTGCTGTCGGCAATGAGGCAAAACTCGACAGCCAAAGCAAAACGCAGCTTAAGGAACTGCAGGAGCGTTGCTACAATGATCTACTGGACATTTGCCGAGCGCTTGCAGCTCAAAAGAATGTTACCCTTGCTTCCGTTATGAACATGCAAGCCCTGAAAGCTATGGCGGAGCGACTACCGGAGACGCAAGCCGAAATGTTGGCATTGCCACATGTTACGAAGGCCAACTTCGAAAAGTACGGTCAACAATTGCTAGAGATCACTCAGAACTATGCCGCAGAAAAATTGTGTCTTATGCTAGATGTTGAAGATGATTCCAGTGATAGTGAGAATAGTGATACTACAGACTGGGGACGATTGGCGCGGGAGGCTTCAGTAAGTAATTCTGCTGGAGCTAGTGGCTCGAAACGAAGACGAAGCTGGGGTTCCGGTGGCCGTGGCGCGAAACGTTTTCGGAAAGGCCGAACAAAATCGAAAGCACGAGCAAAAACCACCAGCACTCGTGGTAGAGGGGCAAGCTCCAGCAAAACTGCTGCAAAATCAGCCACACGCGGTGCACGATCTGGAAGTTCGGGATTCGGATTACTACCGCTTCCGGGAAATCGGTAGCCGTTTAATTTTATCCAGGTAATAGCCGTTGATGTTGAAGTATGCTGTTATTGTTTCATGAGTATCGTAAAAAAGTTCTTTTATATCAATCATCCGTGTTAAGAATTATTCCCGAAATCCATTGCCATACACGGAGATGAAAAACTACCCAAAATTAAGTACTTTTCCCACAATTTTGGGGTTCAGCCCAGTAACCCAAATTTGAGTAAATCGCATATAGTAGTTTCATTTAACACCAGCAACAAAATTACCTACTCTTAAGTATATTCTACCCAAAATTAAGTTTAATTCACGTCCCTCCCCTTGGCTAGTTTTTGCACCTTGCTGTTGGTGGGCTGGCTTAATTTCGTGCTTTTAAGTGGATGTTGGAGAAGGTAGGTTTATGGTCGGCGTTGCTGGCTCATGCCGAGATTGAATGGCGCCATGGGCAGGCAATGGGGATTACTAAGCTTCCCCTCTCTGATGAACCACTACATGAGAAAACCAAAGATCTAGTCCAGCAATGATAGTATCACACTTGTTACTCCTTTCTTTGAAAGCCGCGTTGTAGTACCACAAACGAAGTGACGAAACTGGCTGAAGACGACTAACTGGCGAAGAAATCCATTAAAATAATGTGGTTCACTGTAATAGAATTTTCTTGGAAGCTTGTGCCATCATCCACCAGATGGGTTAATTTTTTTGTTTTGATTTGAACAAAGTTGATTTTGTGTACAGTGATTCTTTGACAGTGTGCAAAGAGTGTATCATTTTGTCATTTTTTTATGCATCTCAGTAGAGTGAAAGAGATAGAACAAAAACATTCTAATACATTTGGTGAAAATGCTAGTACAATCCAGTAGAAGTGTTGCCATGTGGTACAATCTAGTAGTAGTGGTGTTGCCATGTGGTACACTGAAAAATTGAAATAGCAGGTTAGTCACCAAAGTTTTCGAGCCGCTCCGAGACTGTCGGAATTAACGCGCCTACGTCTACGGAGCTTACGCAGAAATGATTCGCAATTCGGTAGAGCTTGTCAAACGCTTTTGAGCTTTTGTAGTATAGAATTTGTTCAGTACGGTCGCGATTTCTTGAAATGATTGATATGTTCTTTAAATTAACTAATTTGATACAAAGCTCAGTAGTAAATTGGAATTCTTTAAATCTTGATTTAAAAATCGAGATGAAAGTGTGTGGGTTCGAAAAAAATATCGCTGTGCTCCGAAAACGAAGCTCTTTCAGATGATGTATAAAAAACGATACATTTTTCAAAATTAAGGAACCCAATTGAGTGTAACCTACACATAAACCGAGCACTGGTCGACATTCCGGCGAAAATGCTAAGCCAACCCGACACCAACCTGACTTCTACCAAACCCTCAACCTGATGTTGACCCGACAACAAACGACATTTGGTCGACATCGTTTCTTCCATACTCCACTGTCATTCATTTCTTCCATACTCCAGTGTCATTCATTTTTGTACTAGCAATTACTCATAAATGTGTAAAATTATAGTCATTTTTTGGGTAGTCCCGTTTTCTTTCAAAAATGCGTACTTTATAGTCATAAAAGAGTTTTTTGCTATTACCATAGAGGTAAATCTAAGACCAGAAGGTCCCGAAGAAACGTGCTCAACTTTTTGGCTCAGCTCTGGTACTATCTTCGGTCCAAGCTAATCGATGCACCCCCCGAAACATAGGCAAATCCACGAGCCCCCCTCATTTTATCTGTCAAACGTTCATAGCGAATCAAAACAAACATAGTGTAGTACTAGAATTTCGACTGGAATGGGATACGTTAATCGATTTGCTTGGGACCAATAGGCTAGTCAAGTAGTGAGCCAACCGATTGCTATTACCGTGTATATCAAATGATAGTGAGTGACTCAATTGACAGTGACAATGAGCTTCAAATGAGAAAGGGGCTATTCAAATTATGGTCATGTGAGAATTCGTTTTCACAGAATTGATTGAATGGTTGTATCGGTTCATCTGCAATCGAATGAAATGAAAATTAACAGCACTGCAGTGTGGAAACTCATCAAACATTTGGACATTTATTTGTCACCATCTACAGGTTCAGTATTAATCCAATTATAATCATCGCTGTTTACACCGCAGGCCGACACTCTGTGTTTTCACTGAAGGTGAACTTGAGAGCACTCTCGAGTACACCTTGATATGAATCTTAATAGCATAATACTCGCAAGTTGTTCATCGAACACGCATTCAACGGCCAATTTAAACGTTTCGTAGTTGGTAGTACCACCACCTGTGGCGCGCATAGTAAATTCCACAAACGAAGTGACAGACGGAGCGGCTCGAAAACTTTGGTGACTAACCTGCTATTACAATTTTTCAGTGTACCACATGGCAACACCACTACTACTGGATTGTACCATAGAGGTAACTCTAAGACCACTGGGTCCCGATGAAAATCATTATTATTTTTGGCTCACTCAGTACCAGAACAACGGTCCCAAGCAGTCCCAAGCTATTTCACTCACCCCTGCATGTTCTGCATGAATCCACACACCCCTGATGTTATCTGTCAAACTTTCATAGCGAATCAAAACAAACATAGTGTAGTAATAGAATTTCAACTAGAATAGGGTACGTTAATCGTTTGCTTGGGACCAATAGGCTACTAAAGTGGTGAGCCAATTTAAAATCGTTAGTTTCGTATTGATTGTTGATTGTACCACATGGCAACACTACTACTGGATTGTACTAGCATTTTCACCAAATGTATTAGAATGTTTTTGTTCTATCTCTTTCACTCTACTGAGATGCATAAAAAAATGACAAAATGATACACTCTTTGCACACTGTCAAAGAATCATTGTACACAAAATCAACTTTGTTCAAATCAAAACAAAAAAACTAACCCATCTGGTGGATGATGGCACAAGCTTCCAAGAAAATTCTATTACAGTGAACCACATTATTTTAATGGATTTCTTCGCCAGTTAGTCGTCTGTCACTTCGTTTGTGGTAGAAGTCAGGTTGGTGTCGGGTAGGTTTATATTTTTCGCCGGAATGTCTGATCTGATGAAAATTTTGCAATGGGCAGCACAAACATGATAGCAACCGCACGAGCTTCGGCATCACACTGGTAGCAGCAGTCTCACGACATACGAACTAAATTTCAAAGACAGCAGCAACGAATCGGCAGGACTGCTTGTTGTATGCACGAGGAAAGTTACGAATGACCATCCGAGGCTGTCATAGCCGAACGAACAAAATACATGAATAAGAACGAGCTGTCGTGTACTGCACAAGACGGCAACGTTGCAAGTCGTATGACAGCCCTAATAAAAAATAACCTTAAACGAACGATAACCCAAATCATTGAACTATTCCACAAATCGTTTGGATGATACCCAGAACACGTCGTTAAGCAAATTAACCATACAATTTTTATTAGGGAGCCTCACTGTGGGTTGTCGCTTATAGCTCAATCTCAAGGTTGTCGTAGGAAAAAGAAAGCGACAGCCGTTGGAATACTATCATGAGGCGGTACTTTTTGTATGCGTGGAGCTACTCTTTGATCATGACAAGAGAAAATATCCGGAAAATGATTGTTTTTGCCTGTTTTGTTCATGAGCTGTTCTTTCGTATTCAATTGAAGCATAGTTCATGAAAAAAGAAGAAAAATATTCATTTATTTCACATATTACTAATTTTTTACCATGTTCTGGTTGAATTAAACATGAAAGAACAGCTAATGTTAAAAAGAAGGGATAATACCCAATCAATTATTAAATTACTTACGTCCTTCTAATGTTAACAATAACATTCCAGTGTCAAATTGAAGAAAACCTTAAAACTCGAAAGAACTACCGTAAGGTCACCATCCACCGCTCAGTGTATAATTGTTTTATATTTTTTTCTCTTAGCTTTTACATTATAGCAAATGATGATCAATGATACTACCGATATTAATTATAGAGTTTCATCTGTTTGACTGTATAATAACTATCATTCATTAATAACAACTCAGGCAGATAAATGCAATTCAATAAAAAAAAAGAAAGAGTTACTTGAAAACGAAGACAACATATCAAGGTATTTTTTTTTTTATGAATTCGATAAATTTTGGCGACATGGAACATCTTTTATTTATTTATTTATTTTACAAAAACGCATTTTTGTATTTCTAAACAACCAAAAACCTTTTGATGACACAACCGAACACAGCCATAATGAAAGCATTCACCCTTTTCGAAAATGAAGCAATACATAAATTATGTATGATACCAACTACAATACACTGATGGAGTCGCTGTTTACGCGGGTGATACGTCCCGCGTAAAAAAATCGCGTAAATTCCGGAAACCGCGAAAATTCCGGAATCCGCGTAAAAAAACCGCGTAAACTCCGAAATTCGCGTAAAAAAAACCGCGTGAAAAAACCGTGTAAAAAAACCGCGTAAAAAGCGACTCTAGTATATAACGATACACCGCGTAAATTCTGAAATCCGCGTTAAAAAAACCCAAAACCGCGTAAATTCCGAAAACCGCGTAAAAAAAACCGTGTTAATTCCGAAATCCGCGTAAAAAAAACGCGTAAAAAAACCGTGTAAAAAGCGACTCCAGTGTACAGTTACTTTTGGTTATTCATTCAATCAAAATTGGAGATCGAAAAACAATGAAAGTAGGTACGGCACGAATGAACATTATTTAATCTAACTAGTATCGTCTAATTTGAGAGTTAAATGCGGCAAAACCAGCCGGTATCACACTTGATGCCAGTGCCTTTATATAAACGTAGTACGACGTGGCTAGAATGAATGAAAAGAATATGTGATACCATCACTTCGGGCCACAGCATGCGAATAAGCTCTCCTACCTTCGGTTTTGAATGGCCTACGGGAGGGAAAAAGTCAGGGCTGTCGAGTCGAAAACACTATGTAATTTTTCCTAATGCATTAAGAAGGTTAAGTAAAAAAAATAAAATTTTACTGCAATGAATTTTGGTTGTTTAATAGTTTGAAAAAAAAATCAGGAAGATAGTAAAATATCCAAATAGGTTTATTTTATTTTATTTTGAAGGTACGTAAAAGCGTCC